AAAGCTAAATAACACTATTTTTTGATCATATTATTTATTTCGTGTTTAGTTTTTGTAAAGGTGAATAAGTTTACTAAAAATGAGACTTTATATCGACCTTTAACAGTTAGCCTTGGACATTTTAGAGAATAAATTTTTAAGCTTCATGATATCAAAGGTTCACTTTATCCCAAATCGACTTGACATGAAAAACCTTTGAAAAATTTTAAAGTGATATAAATGGATTTTGACCTAAAAATCAGGTCCTAAAAGACTATAAAACACTAAACTGTAATAAAATCCAATCTACAGGGAGGTATTTTCCCTTGGTTCACACGCCTATCAGATGAAATATCACTCTGTTTAGAGAAACGAATACAAGCACTACTGAGAAACTTAAATTTTATCCTTTTTTGTAGTAAATACCACAAGTATTTATTTTAATAACAAAAGTATACTAAAAGAAGCTTAAAGACTGAGTATTCAGACAGAATTATAGTATCATTAGATATTTTTCACCATCACTTAGATATTTAAAACCTCAGTGAGACGGATACCGTTAATGTTGTAATTTTGTACAAGTCAGTAATGAAACTTTGTAAATTTACTCGCTAATATGATTTTTCATTGAATGTTTTCTATAATCTTATTTTATTAGAACTCGTACAAATTACCTATGGAAACGAATTTTACGTCAGTACTTTTCATCTGATTCCAATGTTTAGCTTTTATTTGACAGGTTTAGTGAAAAACTCTTCTTTTGTGATACGAGAAAGTAATTGTTAGATGTTCAGGTAAACTTTCCTGGAAAAGCATACAATATTAGAGTAGTGTGATAACCGATACAGCACAATTTGGATAGATACAAGTGTGTGCTATAACATTATTGCACGAGTAGAAATACTTCATGTCACTACTTGTCATAGATGAAAACCACTCAAAACATTTTAGGAGCGACTTTCTTTCACTTGTGCATATACTTAAATTTACAGCTTATTTGGATGACTGATTTATTGGATAATTTAAACAAATGAAATTGAGTAAAACTAGCGAACTTATGTGATTTGCCATACTATGAAGAACATACAAGAGTGATATCTGCTACAGTTCTCATTATTTTATGAACTAATTATCGACTGAATAAACGATGCCACGAAAATTAGGATTTAAACAAAATATACTACAAAATGCACGTCTTTCAAAAGATAGGTTACTAAATAACTGTTTCTCTTGGGCAGAATACTTTTCTGTAACTTTAGGTACTGAGAATATCAAGTGGACATCATAACTGATGTTTCTGCGTCGTTAGTACTTTATAAAGCCTAAAAAACACAATCACCCTGACTTCAGAACAAATTTTAGTGATGTGAAATTTATTTCTATCTTGTTCAAAGTTTCATAGAATTAATTACACCAGCTGGAACTTCACCTGCTTTTTTGCAACTCATTATTTTTTGAGTTTGACTGGACTCCACATTTCAAACAAACCTTTAGTGTTATAGTTAGACGTCAATCCAAGCCAACAACAAGAAAGGCTTACAACAAGCTTTCTTCAAAGTATTTTTCCACAGCACACTACAGATTACTGACAAGATGCTTAGAAATTTAAGCTAGGCTCAATAAGTCGAAATCATAAACGATAAACAATCCCATTCATAGTTGTTCAGAAAGATGAAAAAATGTCTGGCAGACTTCTTACGCAAAAACACGTGTCTCATAAACACTGGGGTCAGTAAACACAGCAGAGTAATACGTGAACTTGTCTGTCCATTTATTCTGCATTCTCTTGATTTTCTTGAGTGCTTGAAAGCGAAAAAATCATAAGACGATAAAACTCGTCAGTCATAGAATAGTTGTTCACAAAATTGGAGAGCTATGAATACACTTTAGCACTGTCGTAGAACTGAAAGTTGAAGGACGAAGTATAAAATGTCAACAGGAAAAATATTGAGGCAATGGAATGATGTTTTCTCATCAATGTACATTTTTTGTGCTACACTATGAAAGTCCCTTGTTTTATTACTGAGGAAACAATGCTACTCGGGTACGATGACAAGTAATTTAAGTACGGGCAAACATGTGACACTAAGCGTAACAGCAGAACTAAGAAATTGAAAGAGTAGAATTTTGTGTCATTTGGTTTATTCAGGATAACACTAGACAAACATTAGTACTTATAAAAACGTATTTTGGGCATAGCTAAGCAATCAAAGCCATACTAATGCATGATATGATATGCCTATTGACAAAGGAGTGTATCGAGAACGGTATTCAGTTACAGCTCCTAGCACACAAACCAATGCAGATACGATCCACACGTTGATAGATGAGTAACTAAATTACTGGGAAACGATTCACAACAACAGAAATTCGATAAGTGATGATATAGACAAAACGTTGTTCGGGATGAAAAGACAATGAATGATAATGTACAATAAATACTTGTTGATGAATAGAAATAAAAGAGGTTTTCGTGTGAACCTAAAATGAAGTAACCTGGTGGAATCAAATAAAGATGTTTAGTTCAATGATTTCATTTTAACAAGTACAGTTGAGTTGCCAGAATTATGAACTTTACTTACAGCTTAAAAACAAATTAGAAATGTTTCTTAATCTCAAACATAATTTTTGATATATATTTCAAAATGTCAGTAAAGACACTTTCAAAATAAAACACTTTAGACGATCGAATTCAGGTTTCCGACCTTGTTAATATTACTAATAACAGAATTTTGAGGTTACCTGCGCAAAAGACACATTTTTTATTACTGGTCAGGTAGTTGATCACTAAATCTAAAAAAACTGGTCTACTTCGTGGTCTTTAATAATTGATGAAGTGTTTTTTAAAACGTAATGATGTGCGAGATAAAGATGCATTTCCAAGTTTAAAATGTCTAACAGTCTTCAGATAGAAAGTAAACGACATGAGTATTCATGGTGTATGATATAAAAACCTTAACACTTACGTTTTTAATTGTAAAAGAGTTGTATTAGGCATATTTCAAAATAAAAAAGTTCTTACAAAAGACTGACTGTCTTTAAAGTTTATCGAATAAAGCGTAAGTTAACAAGTACAAGTTACTATAAAAGAGAACACCATGCAGTGCTTTAAACAGAGTCTAATATCATGTCCACTTCTTTAAGAGATTTGAAAAAGTGGAAGTCAATTCTCAGTCACTCAGCTCTAAATACTTATATGTAGTCTTCAAGAGGAGAAACTAAAAGATTTTTATGACGTCAAATAAGCTTGGAATTAAAATAATAAATACACTTGCAATCCATCAGCTTTTGCATTTCTTCAAATATAACAAAATAGGGAGGATAAAACCCAAACTCATTTATTACTTAAAGAAACTAGGCAGAAGACAAACGTACACAAAGCACATTCTGGGACAAGAACCATAGAGTTATGTGCATCACATAATATGTTAATGAAATCAACAATTCAGATACTGAAAACAGATCCTCTCTTCTCAAGTGGTCATGTAGAGCATACTAAAACTAAACACCACAATAAGCATCTTTAATCATGCACATTATCAAAGAGTAATACGGCTTGGTCTGCACTTAAAAAGCTTGAGAAAAAAATTCCAGAAACACTGTAAAACACACTAAAAAAAAGACATTACATATTAAAATCCATACTGCCTAAAAAATTACTTCAAACTTCGATTATGTCAAAGATTGTAGCTCATCAGTAAACATACTATATCAAGGCAAACAGTTTTTCATAGATTTGTATTTTAATTCAATGCTTATGGAGATTTACTATGCACAGATGTGATTTTTCGGGTCATTTTTCGTATAAAAATAAAATGATATTATTGATTTCTGAATGCTATGGAATATCCTGTCATGAAAACTAAACGCGATGAAGGTACTTGGTGTATGGTGATAACCAAGTTCTTGGAATTTAGTAAAACTTCGGAAAAACCTAAACACAAGGTCCTCAATAATAGCTAGTAAGCCATGACAACTTAACAAACAACAGTTATCTTTCTAATGGTATTTTGGCTGAGATTCAAAGCATAGCTTCGTTAACATCATTGAAAAAATCAATTGCCATTCAGTTCTGATTCTTATGGAAGGTAATTTACGTAGACATATATCTTATGACTACTGTTTCCCATCAAAATACTGTAGTTATTGTAGAATTCTTTCAAAATTTGTGGACCTAAAAGTACGTCTTCTTAAGAATGGATGTCAGTCAGACACAGCAATCAAAAACGTCCACCAGAAACACAAAAAAGTAACCCGTTAAGACAACAATACCTCTTGAATTGCTACATGAAACGGCTTGGTGGAAACCCATGACATGGATCGATATATACATGAGCAAATAATACGATATTGATGAATATTGAAATATTCAACTGCAAATGTAGGAAGTTACCACATTGGGGGGGGGGGGGTTGGACATATCATATCCTCTAATCAGCTAAACTTTAGTAATGACAAACCACATGTTCTGCTAGAAATTTCCTAAACAGTTTGAAGAAATCGATTATTCCCAGGTTGTTGGTGTTAATGTCTGAAGAGTACGAAGCAGAAGTGTATACCAGAGTTATGCACACCTAAGGCTTTCATTACACAGCAAAAATGGGAGCAAAGTGTTCACACATCGGTGCAATCACTACCAGTAAGATATGTCCAGTGAAGTCAGGCAGGTCAAAAACAAACAGCATATGATACTACCGACTGGTAAAAAATGTATATGCATCTTGTTAACCGTAAAATTTCGATATGAATAGATAAAACGCTTCTTACCCAAAAGGATTTAACATACATGTTGTTTAATTTAGCCACAGATAGTCTGTAAAATTAACAATACATAGTTAATTATAGTCAGAGAATATGTTCTGTAGTGTTGAAAAAGTAACCATAGGCTCCTTATAGGCAGTACCTGCTGCAATTTTCAAGCTAATAACAGATATTTAAGATGTTTTTTACAGACTTCGGCTTTTATTTAAATATTCACGCATAAGGATACAGAAAAATTCCAGTTTCCGGTATTCACTTACCTCCTATCACAATACCAGCAATCGAAGCAGATGACAAGTTAGTCCCAACATTTTCATTTATAAACTGCGGGTATGCATTGACGTATTCTTTGCTGGGTGGAAGCTTAACAACATTTTCATCCATCCTGTAATCGGTGAAAACTCATATCAAGCTCTATTTAAAGTAGTAGTACAACCTTGAACTATTGGACTGCTTAAACAATCAGTTTGCAGTTTTCAGTAATTACTCTAGTAGGTCAGCTTGCCTGCTCAAATCTTCGCAGAAGATACCTACACATAGGCCTAGTTTCTCCATAAACCTGTTGACCGAAGGTGTTAACACTTCTTGCTTAAGTATATGATGAATCAAAACATCGTCACCGGCTGTGAGTTTAGAGCAACGCAGATTCACACGAAGTCAGTTCATTCGCGGTGTTTGGAATTTTTTGTGACGCGTTCAGAGGTAGTCAATCCTAGCAGCAGCGAAAAGACAGGAAATAACGGTAGTGAATCCATTTTCAGGGAAATGCAATTATAGCGTCTTACACTTCCCTAAAATCAGTAGCCTAGGGTTTGATGAGTTTCAACATGGATGCTGACCTTGATAGTTTAACTGGACTCACTAAACTGAAGGCACCCGGCCAAGCATCCTCGCCATTTGGCTCGATATCGTGTTACGTTGCACCGCTCGCAATCGACCCTCTAGTCAGTTAGTTGGAACGCATCGGTATCTTGGCACGACCGCGCAAATATACCATTCCATCCGACTGCGCTGTTGTCCTTCTCTGGTCTCGTATTTGTGGGTATATAACAAGTTCGAATAATTAGTGATTGGCCCCTGCATCTGCCAAGCTGGCACCAGGACGAATCCTAAACGATGACAGTATGAGATCACCCGGTTTCTAGAGGTAAGACATGAGGATGACACCAGCCGATCTAATCATTCCTCATGGAATATATTCAGAAGTCCTACCACAGGCGTGGCAAATACAATCTGAGCACTTTTGTGTATTTCAGTGTCTGTTTTCAAGTAAAGGCTGGTGGCCTGGATGCATTCTTCCACGTGTGGCCTAATGGAAAAAGAAGGGATAATCCTGAGCATATCCTGAAAACCTTTGACGGCCCTAGCGATGGATGGAAGACATGCAAGTCCACTTCTTCGGCAGCCTAGTAGTGTGTTGGGGTTTTTAACTCGTGGCTCATGATTGTGCCCAGTCCCTCAATTCAAAGACGGGGAAGAGTGGTGTACTACCAATGGAATGCCGGAAACTATTGCAATGACCAATACGCACTACTGCAATTTTGCTCGGGTTAATTTCCAGGCGGCAATCGGACCGATCCATCAGGTCATCCAGATCCGCCCGAGTTTCATACCTGTCGGCATCACCACGTATGACTGCCCTAACTCAAACATCATCGGCAAATGGTAGCCCTGAAGACTTGAGCATTTGTGGTAATCGTTGACAGGTAGCAAGAAAAGTGGTGAACCTAAGATTGTCTTTCGAGGAACTCTACTCATCACAGGTTTCTGCCTGAAATGCGTTCTACTAACCCTCTCTCTTTGCCTTCTACCAAGCAGGAAGCCGTTAATACAGTCTTGTAGTGCAACACCAACTCCAAAAGACGAAAGCTTCCCCAGTAATTCCACACGAGACACTCTACTGAAAGCCTAATGAGGCTTATAGACACGAAATCCATTGGTAGCCTGAAATCTCGAGCCGAAACCCACTCCTCCCTCCTTCTTCTTTGATAAACAGAACTTCAGGCACGAAAATCGTGCTGCGCTGGTGCCAAAAGGCCAATTGATTCAACGCGGTTAAGAAAATCATGGGAAATTATTTTTTAAAACTTAACGATTATGCTAATTAGGCTCGCAGGGCGATAGTTAGCCAACCCATTGACGACTATCGGCGTTCGGAACTGTGCCGGTTGCAAACTTTTTCCAGTCTTTAGGAAGGCGAGCTTGAGGCAGAAACACACCGAAAAGATCAATGACCGTCTCAGCATCTTTATCTACTGGCAAAGATAGCAGTCTACCGTGCAACTTACCAGGCCTCAGGGATCTTCCAGATTTGGGTTTACTGAACATCTGCAAGAATGTTTCTTTGGTCATGAGCACTGAGTCCATCGGTGACGCAGTGCTTACACCGCAGTTGAGCACTTCACCATCATGATCTAGGGCGAAGATTTCAGTAAATTAATCCGACGGCGTCCGTCTTTGGGCATATTAGATTCCACCAGATTATCGGACCCTTCATCCGTCGCCAGAGTGAGAATTCCACATGTCCTTTCGGTTCTTCTTCTAATGAATGGGAATGGCCGTTTGGGACAGTTTTGGCTATCATTTACCAGCTGATTCCCGTGGGACGTTTTGGATTGTACAATCGAAGTTTTTCAGATATGGACTCCAGAGTGCCCTGCATTTAACTGGATGAATGGACCGTTACCTCTTTGAACAAAGTTCTATGTATGTACAAGGTGTTCTCGGTTGATGGGCCCTCATTAGTAGTCCGACTCCTACCGACTGTAAAATGCCTCGTACTTGAAATGTCTGCGCGCCACATACTGGGTCCGGGGCGGCAATGTCATAAATAAACTCGTGCGTTCGAAAACCAAAATCCGGCAATACTTGGTCTCTGCTAGGTAATGGGGAGAAGTACCGCAGATCCATAATATCTTCACATTGGTGGGCTAAAACGAAATCTAATAACAATGGTTTGCTTACAAAATCGTGTCGTGTTCCACAAGTTAATTTTTGAACTAACGCACATTCTCGTTCCGTTAAACGTTAATCATTCTCGAAGGAAATGCTCGAGGCTGACGGTTGGCTTCGCCCTGCTTATTTGTGGAGAGGGTATGCAGGTCTCCAACCCCGGTTATGTATATGAGCCGGCGCGAGGTCATTTGTAAGGTATAAGAGACTATGGTATACTACCTAAGCGGCACGTTAACCCCCTTTGACCTCAGCCCACAGCTGGCCATTTCGCAGGTTTCGGGTTTACGTGCCTCTGAAGTGACTGATAGTCCGTGGACGTCATCACGAATACAGGGTTAAATCCCACCGACTTTGCCATCTATAACTCTATATGTCCAGTGACACCTTGTCAAAAGTGATGCAAACTCAGAAACCCTTATTAGCCAGGTTTCAGCGATGCCCACTACATCAGAGCCCTGTCCTTTGACTAAAGACTTAGGGTCTGTCGTTTCATTTCTGACGCTTCGAACATTGGTGTGTGCCTGAAAAGTTCGGTGACTTACCCTCATAGGCCTCGGAAATATTCACCATCGAGGCCTCTAACCCCAAAAACACGCAATGTTAAGCTTGTTTTCTCCATTATTTTGTCAAGCTTGGGTTCAGCAATCACTTTTCTTCCTTCTCTCTGGCCAAGTGTAGATGCATAATTGAGTGAATTGGACACCTCACTTAGGAGCGCATACATTTCGCCTTTAGTGCCTGAAACAACTTTTGGGATGCCATTGACATCCGATTTGGCATCCTCTTTTTCAGTGGCCTGACTACTCCAGAAGTGCGCATCCCCCCAGACGTTGCAGGCTGGATACGTCCGCTAGCGGGCTCAGTCAGCCTCAGATCATGCGTATGACGTATTGAAGGCCGTTTGTTGACCAGCTGCACAACATTCCAAGATGGCGCACTGGACGTTGGTGAGATATCTTTGAATCTGGCGCTGGTGGCCTTCGAAGCCTCTTCCATGGATTTCATAACCTTCCTAGTTTTAGTGATAGGCCCACATGGACTCTTTGAATTCCTTTTCAAAGAAATCCATTTGGATTCATTGATAGCAGTTTTATAGCATCGGCGTTGTTAACGGAGGTTAGTTCGTGAAATCCTCTGCTAACATGGTTAGTGTGGCGGTCACCAGTCTTTGTACGTCGAATAAGTGTCAGAACTGGTGTAGCTCCAGTGATCAAAACGTTAGAATGCGACTGCCCGGCTTCATGTTTCATGGCAGGCTCGTTTGCAGCAACACTTGCAGCATCATCATCTGACACTGGATTAGACTGACAACCATCACTACCGGAAGCGTTTTTGACAAGTAACACTTCCACGGGTCCCTAACCTGAGGCTGGCGAAGGCTTACAGCAGGAATCACATAACTAGTAATAACCTAGTTTACTGCAGTCATCGCAAGCGGTTAGTGTCAGTCAAGCTCATACTTTGTGGAAGCAGAATGTACACGCATCACACTGCAACCTTAGTCGACTGGAAATCGACAGCTGGGTTGACCGCAAACATAATTGTCGCTAACCTCATCATTCACAATTGGACGAAAATTTCTACCGAAAAAGCGCTTGAACTGAAGTATTCGGTGAAAGTTAGGCCAGAAAGCTTAAGTCACAGCAACACAGCAAGAGTGATCAACGACGAAATATGGTTAAAAAGCCGACGCGGGCGGGTCAGTTGTTTTCTCAAGGCTCAGAAAACAAAAGATTTCCAAAAACCGCTATCAAGCCCCACGATAATCAGAACTTCTGACTGTGATTGAACACTTCCACTCAAGACTTATAATAATAATATCTGTTCCTGAATTCAAAGGCGCATATCTTTTTTACTGATGAGGTTACTGTGTTCCATGGCAAAAGGTTTCCGATAAAACTGTTTACCACGCCTTCTTCATCTCAGTTATAGGCTAAAAGAGAGGTTTCACATCACTTACGAACAATGCACGTCAAAATAAATGTTGAATTTTGTGTTCATTCATAGGTATAATGAAGCCGTCGGCCAGCATGGAAATCATGTTTGATGAATATGCAGAGACATCAGGCAAGGAAGAAGGGGAAGAAGTTCAATACGTTTACTCTCAGAGAAATCATTTCCTGAAGGAGTTTCATTCAGCAATAGTGATATACAGTCATGCATCATTTTTGAGGGTATGTACGGATTTCCTATGTAGATCACGTTTCCCGACTGTAGGTAGCTCCAACCTCCATTCGTTCATTCATTAGAAGACATACGTGTTGCATATCGTTGGGATGAGTGATGACAGCAGAACAGGAATTCGCAAAGTGGCAAGATGGAGCAGTGGAAGTGTCGTCATAGTGTCAACAAAACCCAGAACTTGTGTTTAATTGTTACATGTGTTGCCATGGGAGAAGTAAAGCTTGAAGTCAGTACTTCCAATGTTG